TTCTCGCTCACTCCTGCGTCTTGTTTGTATAAGTACGAGCTCGCTTGAGAACTTTGTACGCTTTTCAGCTCGCTTGCTGAAATCATCACCGCAGCAGCAGAATCAGGCTTCATCACACGCTTAGCGTATTTAACGGCCAGATTTTATGCATGCGCATAACTTGTAACTATACATTATCTATAACCTGGCTTGCTCCTAAAACCACTTTCTCTCTCGATACAAATAGAAAATATTTTATTCTTGAAAATAAACTCTCAATGTAAATATTAGCCGTTTGGTAAATTCATTTTAAGTAACTCTGATCTCGATACATGATCATTGAGCTATTTTACTGCTCTTGTAGCTACTGCTTTCTTGAGCTACTGCTTTCTTGATCATTTTCGCATGAAGCTATTTGTGGTGACCGCTAATCACGTGCGATAAACTCTATTACGCTGGGACATATGCGCGCAATTACTATTACAGCGTGGATATCCAATATGTGTACTTACTTAAAAGGTTTATTCATTGATAGATTATTTCCACAGTTTGTTTGAGTGTACGTTGAGAGAACGCCTTAGTTTAAATACCTCCTAGAAGTAAAAGCGGTAAAATTTAAAGTACGAATGAGGCTTTAGCATTGTTATAAGTGAGGCAGTGATTAATGCAAGCTAAGCACCGAACGAGTCGGTTTGCATAGACATGGTTCGATTCAGGTAACAGAGAATAAAAGAGAAAAGCAAAGCATATTGAGAAAGCAAAACAAAAAAAGTTTCGATGCGACTTCTACCGACGACTGTATAAATAATTAACACTATGAAATGGATAAATTAGAAGTCGCCAAAGTAGTATCACGCACTTGGTTTTTCTCTTCATAGCGAAATATGGCAGGCTACTCAGGCATCACGACGGACGATAAATAATTCAGAGGAACACGAAAAGAAGCTTTCTCTGTACCTTTCGTGCTGAATCAACTTTCGACAAGACTTTCAGAGATGAGTTTATGTGTCTAATCCTTTGAGCAGGTACTGACGTCGAAATATTTCGATTTTTCCGGCTCTAATTGGACTGAAATTTTGACAGAATATATTTGAAAGTATTTTAAAAATAATCAAAAACTTAAAAATCGAGTACCACCCGCTTTACTTTTTTTCGGAAAATTTATTATTGACCTATATAGACAAATAAATGCTCAAAGGATTAGCTCCTCGCTCCCTTTTTTCACCCTCTCATCCTTTCGCTACCTCTTGATACCAAAAGTGCTGAATGCACACAGTGTGTGTATGTATAGCAATCATGCACGAATATATAACAAGAGTTGTGGAGAGTTGGACGAACTGTCCTCGCATCAGTGCAGTCTAAGCCAACTGTCGCATACTCGTCGTTATCATCTGGTTTGTGAGATAGAACAAGACAGACTATTTCATTGAAATACAACTACAACTGATTTTAACATTATATCCAATTGATTTTGACGATGTTATTAGAGTAATATTCGATAAGAAGTCACTAATATTTTCATCGAGTTGAGAGTTTAGCTTCAAACTACAAGCGCTGGAAAATGTTTAAATTAGGGTTGTTACAACGTTATTGTTTTTTACTTTGTAACCAAATTGAGAGAGTTGTTGTTCAGTTTGTTGGATTGGCTCAGCATTCCGCAACTCGAGTTGCCACTAGTAATAAATCTTATTATACGCTTATCGCGCTTGCTACGATCACTTCTTACATTATCGTTCAGTGTCTCGCTGTGACGCTAGATCTTTATTGGCTAATACGAATGCAACTTACTGTCTTAGTCTTTTCGCTTAGTTACTGATGACTTGTACCTCAAATATTGCACTAAAGTCATTGACATCACCAACATACAGTCGCTCTGTGTGCACTAGACTGTGACCATTTCCTTAATTTCGACGCTGTACAGGGGGTGCTTTGATTTTATATTCGCTCGCTCGTCAATTTCAACCTGATGAAAGACATGAAGTATCATAGGTTTAAACAGGACATCTTATTGCAAGCAGTCGTTTGTAAGCAGTTATATAGCTAATTTGCTGTCCAACAATCAGTGGCGGTGAGCACGTCAATCCCTCCATGGCGTGGGGTGGTAAATTTTAAAATTAATATTAAATTTTTTTATTATATAAGTGTATAAGGATTTATTTACTAGATGTTTTTTTGTATGAACTCGATATTGTCTGTCGGGAGTTTGTTTAGAAGTAATTAGTTTTAGAAGGCTGAAAAGTTCTCCAAAAAAATAGTCCCCAAGTTGGAATTTTCGATTGATTCAAATATTGTTAGGATAATGTATCAACAGATAAACTTAATTGTAAACAATAAAATCACAACCAATTTGGCATCGTTCCTCGACACACTGATCATGTTTACAATGAAAATAAATTAGTTTGAATATTGTATTTCTCGAAGAAACAAGCCGTAATACCATAAGATCAATTTTACTCATTCAATTTCCATGATACCTAATTATAGACTGATCACTTGTTGAATTTAGGCACCAAAATGGATAAAAGTAAAAAGAAATCCGAAGAAGTTGTTTCGAAAAATAATTCAAGTGAACACGACATTGTTGTTTCGGACGACAAAAAATACATTTGCGATATTCGTCAGGAAGTATTTACACTAGAATCAAGCATGATAGAACATCGGGACACTATTCACAATGCCCAAAAATATTATACTTGTGACAAGTGCAAAAAGAAATTTGAGTTCCGAAGTCATTTGAGTAGGCACCAAATATCGATACACAAAGGCTGCAAAGATTTTAAATGCGACAGGTGTGAGAAGAAATTCATGAAAAAATCAAGTTTGTTCACGCACCAAAAACTAGTACACAAAGATTGCAAAGATTTCATATGCAATAAATGTGAGAAGAAATTTGAAAATAAATCAACTTTACTTAAGCACAAAAAAATATTCCACGAAATTTTCAAAGATTATTTATGTGAAAAGTGCGCCAAGAGATTTGCAAGTAAGCAGAGTTTACTCTCTCACGTAAAGGGAGTCCATGAGGGTCTCAAAGATTTTGCCTGCGACAATTGCGGGGAAAAATTTAGAAAAAAATTGCACATGCTCAGCCACCTGAAGACAATACACGAAAGTAGGAAAAATTTCGTCTCTAAGGTCTTAAAAGATTACTCATGTAACGATTGCGGGAAGAAATTTGGACAAAAACCGCATTTGTTTCGCCATCAAATGACGGTACACGACGGTCGGAGAGATTATGCATGTGACAAATGCGAAAAGAAATTCGGACAGAAATCGAATTTGCTTACCCATCTAAAGACAGTTCATGAATTTCGAAAAGATTACACATGTTACAAATGCGAGAAAAAATTTGGACTAAAATGGGTTATGATTCAGCACCAAAAGACAGTCCATGACGGTCACGAAGATTTTGCATGCGACAAGTGCGAGAAAAAATTTACACAAAAACCGAATTTGCTCAGACACCAAAAGACAGTACACGAAGGTCGCAAAGATTACGCATGCGACAAGTGCGAGAAGAAATTTGCACAAAAATCAAATTGGCTAATCCACTTAAAAACAGTACATGAAAATAGCAACAATTACGCATGCGACAACTGTCAAAAAAAATTCGGACGAAAACTGCATTTGTTAATCCACTTAAAAACAGTACACGAACATCGGAAAGACTACGCGTGTGACAAATGCAAGAAGAAATTTGGGGTTCAGAGCAATTTGATAAAACACAAAAAAACAATCCATGAAAATCGCAAAAATTTGGCATGCGATTAATACGAGAAAAAATTTGGTCATCAATCGACTTTGCTTTTGCACCAAAAGACATTACACGAAGGTTGTAAAGACTACGCTTGTGATAATTTCGAGAAAAAATTTGGATAAAAATGCAATATGATTCGACACCCAAAGATAGTCCTTAGACGCATGCCACAGTTTCGAGAAGAAATCATGGTTGACAATTGTAAATATGTATAGATACTAGACTGCCAATAAAAAAAAATTTTTTTAAATCAATGGGACGCCCCCTCAAAAGTTTCGAACCCCCAAAAAAATGAGCTCTACCAAATTTCAGCTCATATGGTTGAAAAAAACTCGTGCCATAAGACGAGTGTTAATTAACATTAAATTAAATGGAAAAGTTGTTTTCTCGTATTATACGCATACAGGGTTTCCATTTAATTTAATGTTAACACCCGTTTTGTGGCACGAGTTTTTTTCAACCATATGAGCTGAAATTTGGTAGAGCTCATTTTTTTGGGGGTTCGAAACTTTTTAGGAGGCATCCCGTCAATTTAAAAAAAAATTTTTATTATTGTCAGTCTAATAGATACATATAAGTATATGTTTTTTTAAAACTTTTATAAAAATTGTGCTTTTGTGATTTTGTCTTACGAGCTTTCAACAAAATATTGCACCTCCATACTTGCCATTGCGGTGTTTTATTTACGTACTACTAATTACTACTCTCTGTTCATTTTTTGGCTACTTAGTTTTCAGCTCTTCATTCAACGATTAGCCCATATTTTTTTTCATGTCTTGTTTAGACCGGTGAATGGGGCGAGCGTTTACTATTGGATTTTTGATAAGACTCACTTGATGATATGCTGAATTTATCAAACATGCACTAGTGAAAGATTGGGATGAAATAGCTGAAATACTGATTATTTCGGCTTAGAAATATGTGATCGGTAATAAAAATGAATCGATAAAAAAAAATTTCGCGTGGTAGTGACACTTTTTCGACCACACCACTGACGACAATCGTGAAGTTCATGTCAAAGCCTACACAAGTGCCAAGACGCCCTATTACGATGAAGGACGCATCCAATGATATTGAACAAACCCAATTAAGAGACCACTACTTTTTACATGGGGTCTTAATAATGTTCACTATAAGCATAAACAAAATTTTTTCAAATATTTTTTTACTTCACCCATTCATTCTTAACTCAGTAAAAATAAAAAGGTTTTTGAGTTTACATCATTACTTTTGGCTAATAAATCAATAAAGAAAAAAACAATTCTTCAAATAACTGAAAAATTCTTTAATAGAATGTTTTATAAGATTCTATACAATTTTAATAACTTTTATCAAGATGTACAATTTTCTATACAAAACAATTTCAACAATTATTGTTGAAGTTTCGTCCATCTTTCACTAGTTTTCCACAACCAAGACAACAAATTTTCCTTATTACAAATTGGAGCTTTTTCTGCTATCTTGCATTCACTGGAAAAGTAAATTTTTTAATACAAATGAAAAATAAATTTTAAATGAAATTTTATGCATGTATTGATATGAATAGTACCTGAAATATTCCCCAGTTACATTTTCTAGTTTAGGATCAACTGCAGCATATATAATAGTTTGAGCTCCTTGTTTGGGAGTTTTTATAAATGGCCATACAATTGGTTTTAAAAATATAGAACTTATAAAACTATTGTAATAACCCATATATCTTGTTATTTCTGTATCTACAATGCCAGGATGAACAGCATTTGAAGTTACACCAGTTCCTATGAAGTAAAAAGCAGGATTAACTTTATGCACTCAGAAAAAAATATTAACATACCTTTTAATCTTTTAGCCAATTCTACAGTAAATAAAACATTTGCAAGCTTGCTTTGTGCATAAGCTGCACCTGGATCATATCTTTCTGTACTATTAAAATCACTTATATTGATTCTTCCTCTAAAGTGAGCTAAACTAGAGACGTTGATTACTCTTGCTGGTGCAGAAGCTTTCAAAGTATCTAGCAGTAAGTTGGTCAAGAGAAAATGACCCATATGATTAACACCAATTTGTAGTTCAATACCTTCTTTGGTATAGCTGAGTGGAGTTCGCATGACACCAGCATTGTTGATAAGAATATGAAGTTTGGGAAATTCTATAATTACAAATTATAATTCATTAATAAAATACTGTTGGAGACATTTAAAGTTTAAACATGCATTACCTTTGGTAAATTGTTTGACAAAGTCTCGAATGCTTTCTTGAGATGCTAAGTCACATTTTCTACAATAAACAAATTTATTTTTTGATTCAAACACTATTTCTTCTCGAGCCTGTTCACACTTGAATAAATCTCTGCAGGCCATAATTACTTTAGCTTCTCGATTCGCCAAATCCCTAACAACTTCTTTTCCAATACCAGTATTGGCTCCTGTCACAATAACTATTTTATTAGTCAATTTTTCATTGCCTTCATATTTTGCTCCACCATTGTAATCTCTACAATAAAATGCAGATGATGATTAGTAAAAAAATGTAAATTATTCAACCATTTCATGATTCAACCAATGAGTCAATTTATTTTTCATAGATGAACCAATAAATCATCTAATTTTTCATTCATTAATTAAACTTACTTGAGCAAATACACACATCCAGTTAAGGAAGCAATGGCACTTCCCAAAAGAACAGGTTTTGGTATATGCATTGCAAATATATGAGTTTGACAAGTGTCGAATTATTATCAAATTGAATAAAAATCTAAAACTGAAAATCATAAATTAAAAGGCTATTCAGAAAATCTTACAACGTTCTTTACTTAATACTATTTATACCATCAAAATAGGTTATTGAAAAGTTTATACTGTAAACAGGCATGACAGTTCTACACCATCGACTGCAGTCATCACAGGCGTGCCGCGTGCGGCGCAGTGCTGAGTGCAGACGATGCAAACTGGTGCTGTAGAGTACGCTAAAGAGGGCGCAAGCAATACCACTAGGTAGAACTAGATATTTGCTCAGTGAAGTTCGATCGTTTGCTGTCTGGCCGCAGTCCGCACACATTTCTTTGCTCAAACTTATACATAAATATACACAATATATAACAGAGGGCGGCTGTCTATTCAATCGTGTGTTTGTATTGTTCGTTGACAGACGGAAAACTGAAAATGTTAAGTAGGATCAACAGGTCGAATAAGCTTACCGCCAAAGCTTCGGCGTTTAATTAAAATAAAGTTTTCGATATTTGAGATGACGAAATATTTATTGTATATCATAACATCGACGTTTGAAGTTTCATTGACAAATAGTGGAGTAACATCTGTTGCTTCGTACAGTTGTACTAGTTGACAAACCTGGAGTACACTTTAACTTTTAACTGAAGTTGTACGGTTGATTTACTTGTCTTTTGAATACAATCAAGGAAGTACTTTGTTGAACAAATACAGCCAAGATGTTCTCAAGATTTATGAAATATACTGTCAGCAGGATTCAACAAAGGGCACTAGGTTATGTCTTTAATGGACTACGTAGGGTATGTCAAATTTCACTACTTCCATAAAATTATCCATCGCATTATCCTGTTTTTGTTTCATTACCATCTAGTCGTTTGGGGAAAAGTTAAGACAAAAATCCATTGGACCTGCTCCTATTTACATTGCTGCTCTTTGGGGTATTAGCAAGAAAAAAGACGACGACAAGTCCTTGACAAATAAAGAACTTTTACTTGCAAAAGCTGATGCATTGTTTGATCAAGAAGAATATCACGAAATTTACAAGTTACTTAAAGGATATAAGGTAATTAGATGTCATTGATGATAAGCAAGTTTTAATATTAATGGAATGATGATGATGCAATATTTTTCCTTTGCAGGAAAATAGGGATGTAGAAATATTATGGCGTCTAAGTCGCACTCTTTACAAGATGTCTAAATTGGAGAAACAGGAAAGTGAAGCTAAAAGGTTGATTTACGAAGCTTATGATTTGATCAATTTAGCTTTAGAAATCAAAGAGGATCATTGGGCAGTTCATAAATGGGTAGCAATTTTATTGAATGACAAAACAAATTATGAAGGCACCAAAATAAAAATCAAAGAACTTAATAATATCAAACAACACATGCTAGTATGTTTTAAAATTCATGTGTTTTTTATTACATAAATTTGAAAATATTATTTATACTTACTTGTTTTTTACAGCGAGCCTCAGAGCTCAATCCAAAAGATGCTACCACTCTTTATTTATTAGGTAATTGGTGTTATCAGGTGACGGATTTACCTTGGTTTCAAAGAAAAATTGTCTCTACAATATTCAGTGAACCACCAACTTCAACTTTTGAAGAAGCCCTACAGTATTTTGAAAAAGCAGAGCATGTAGATCCTAATTTTTATGGGCACAATTTATTGATGTTAGGTAAAACGTATCTAAAACTCAATAAAAAAGAAGATGCGATGAAATATTTGAAATTAGCTTCTGAATACCCTGCTAAAAACGACGATGACCAAGAAGCTAAACAGGAGGCACAAAAAATTTTGAATAATCTTTGATACCTGTATATATATTTATATACAGATTTGTGATTAATTAAAAATTTTTGTTCATGCTCACATTACTTTACAGCATCGCTTGATCACAGGACCAAGAGAGAAGCATTGAAAATCTTTAATACTTTATAAGAATTGACAATCATAATAGATAATTGAGATGGAAATATTTAAGCACATTTAAAATATCAACTCTCAAAAGTACATAAAATGTAACTTGTCTGACAATTTTTTTTATCAATCATGCAGCTGACTGATTTTTCACAAAGATTAACTACTGTATATTAACATATTTGATTAACTTTAACTTACATTAGTGTATGTGTATATCATTGTATTGTATTTCAAAGGAATTTGGAGCTCAATAAAAGAGAATGGAAGACTGATATATAAAAAATATTTCATTTTTTAGTAAACTTGACAGCATCAGCTATAAGAAAAAGATGAAGACATTCAATTTTCGTGTTGATTTATTTTACGAGTGAATAATTATGATATATTTATAAAATGATATAGTTAATATAAAAATTGCTCATTAATACTAAGAACACACATTCAGCAGATACGACATTTTCATTCATCGATCGATACGTATTTCAGCTAGACTTGCACTCGAAAGTAAATAAAATTATGCTTTTACAATTACATCATGATACGCTCGCGAACAATCGTACATTTTTCTCTGTAAGTACAAACAGATATGACAATACATGTATACGGAATTTACATCGAGTATGAAACGTCTCTGTACACGAGGCTAGTTTTAATTTCATTTGTTATTTTTACATGATACAGGTGCGCGATCGCAGGCATAGGCAACCCATAAAATTTAAACCTACGAATTTGCAGAGAGATAAAAGAAGGCTATAATTACAGTCGAAGAGATTATTTTTTCTATTAAAAAAGAGGGGAGCATTATTTGCAGGTGTACTCCTCGGTGCGTTCGGTGCAGGTTTCGCAATGCACCTTGCAGCACCACTGGAACTTGCAGTTACATTGCCACGTGCGCGTAAACTGGTGGGTGTTGTAGCCTCGGCCACAGCACATGAGATCACAGCCATCCGTGCCTGTGAACAAAAAATAAAGCGTAAATTAAGGCGGTCGTAGTATAAGTAGGACTATAGTTGGATGTGCGAATTACCTCTACTCGTTCGGTTGCAGTATCTGCCCTGAGTACCCAGACTGCCCTGCTCGAGGTCCGGCTCGCAGTAATTCGGCGACGGCTGCAGAAACACCAGCTCGCTCCGCTTCGGTATCCTCTTCTGGCTGATGCTGCTGGCTGGACTCGTACTGTCGAATTTCGCTCGTTTCAGTACCAAATGAGGCTGCCTCGGCTGTTGCTGCTGCTGCTGCTGCTTGACGGGCGCGTGCACGACGACGGAGCCCGACCTCTTGACCGGCCAGCCGTGATCCGAGGCGAGGAGGCCAGAGAGGGGCGCGTCCTCGTCGTCAGCCTGGAGCAGAGCCTCGATGGCCCCTTGGCTCTTGGCGTCGTTGACGAGGATCGGCCGCGTGGACGGGACGCTCGACGATCTGAGCTGCATCGACTCCGAGGAGCTCGAGGACGAGGAGGACTGGGACGGGGCCGGGGGCGGCGTGATGGCTATGACCGGCCTCGCCCGGTAATACTTCTTCATGAGAGCGTCGCCGATCTGGCGGAAGGTCGGCAGCGTCCGCCAACAGGTGCGCACCGTGCAGGATCCCGAGACGCCGTGGCACTTGCATTCCGTCTGCAGTAGCGATTTAACGATCTGGAAAATTAATCTTAATTGAGTGGCCGCCGCCTGTGCGATCCGCTCGCTCGTGTTCGGTGCACGCGAGTCTGCTGCAGTAGGCGCAGCTATATATTTATATGACTTATTTCTCCCAGCTGCGCCAAGCGTATATCTGTGCACTTTCATTTAAAACTGCGATTATTATTAATTTATAATGTTCCTGCTAGTTGATTGAGCCATATTCGAGTCGCGATTCGGATCGTTTAATAGACATACATACATGGAAAGATAAGCAGCCTCGCAAAAGAGAGAAACAAGCCGTAAAGTCGTAAATTCGCGGCTATAACGCGTGTTTGCGTGTGTTATTACGATTCACATATATATTTATTACAGATCCTCGCGGGAAATCGTTAGGCGCGCGCTGGACAACACGGCCGTTTTACGCTTGATCAAGATTTGAGCGGTTTCTGGAGGCTGCGTGAAAGAAAAACACGAGAGAATCTCACAAGATATACCAACCTTTCGACCAGCTTTGTTGTTGTGCAGGTTCATGAGGCTTCTGGCGTCGCCTTCGATTTCTCTGGCGTCTAGGAACCTTCGCGCGAACCTGTTAATCCATCAACATTCGCTTGAGTATAATGGCACATCTTATTGGACGAGCAAAATTTGAAGCGAATTTATCGTACGCTAATGTATTATTACCTCATTCCGTAAGAGATATCGGCGCTGCAGCCACCCCATTCCCAGCCATTTGGAGGAACTTCTTTCCGCGTCCTGCGTAAAAGAGAGAGAAAGAGTGAGATGGTGCGAGCAAAAACGAGAAATAAAAAAATGTTCATCTCAGATTACGATCGCATACTCGTTTAAGGTTGCTCAACTTTTAATTAAATTCCTCGTGCTGGATTAATCGATAAAGACAAATTAGAAAATTTATCGGTCGAGCGATCGATAGACGAACATATTCATATTGTAGAAAAAAATAAAAAAAAATAATGCGTGCAAATGATAATAATAATAAAAATATTAATGTAAATGTTGCTACCTTAGGGAAGACTCGCATCCACAAGCCGTGATGTTGCCTCGACTGCAGGCGGCGGTCACGGCGTACGTAACACCGGCCGAGGCGATCGCGTACGTGAAGGCGGCCTCTCTGCTACCTGCGACAACGACAGAAGAAAAGCAACGCGTGAGTGACAAAAGTCGACACATGAGGATTGCGTTACGTGTACGCTAGCATATACGGCTATAATAACGACGCAAGCTAGCTGCTACGGTAGTGCCGCTGCGCGTGCGAACCGCCAAGGTATTTGTAAATCAATCCGCGGATTTTCCGCTTACACAGCGGAGCGGCCCGTAAATCATCGACGCGGATGCGTAATAAACCTATCACACGAGGCCGTGATTAATCGCTGAGCTTTCTACGTGCCCGCGCGCTTTACACGTCTAGTCGCCTTTTGCGCGCGAGAGCACAAAGCGCGAATTTGTAACATCGATACTTTCGCGCCGCGAATTTCAGTCTAACAATATAATAAGTCGCGGATTTTGCACGCCCGCGATCGTGTTTGCAGAGATCCAATCAGCTGAACTGGCCTTTTTTCGCGCCCTCTGCACCTACGCAAGCTCCTGCCACGGAAGTTTATGATTGCACACGGATAGCTGCAGCCCGTTTCTTATATATCTCTACGCCCACGCTCCTAATGCAAACGCATCGATGAGCGGCAGCCACTCGAAAAGCGACCAATCGATCGATCGCCAACTCGAAATTTTCCGCTCCCAACGGATTCAGATACAATATCAAAGACATCCTACCGGCCAGCGAGATATTTTATTAATTACAATAAATTATCTGCTCGCCACTTATTCAATTGTTTATCAATTAATGACGACGTGTGCTCGAATTAAAACGTCAATTAAACTTTATGCAGTTTTCGCTCTCTCTCTCTCTCTCTTTTACCGAGTTGCTCGGTTGCTCGGGCGCGCTCCAGCTCAACTTTTTGCTTACTTTTCCTTTCGTTTTGCACGTAAACTTATGTACTTCAAGCCTCCTCTTTTTAATTCAGCGAATCGGTATCGCGAAAGCAATAAATCAGCGTTGGCTCCGCTGTGCGCAATACGTACTGCAGCCCACCGCGCACAGACTCACGTATCGGATCGATTTCACGATCTTTGTACTACAGACGCAAAAATCAATGCAGTCAAGAGAGAAAGAGAGCGAGAGAGAGAGAGAGAGAGAATTTTGATCGGAAAGTAATGTCGAGGTAAAAATGAAGATATTAATTCGTATCGAAAGAATTAGCCCGACACTCGAGCTCGCATCTTTGCTGATTTTTTTTTCTACATACGCGAGCCTACCGATAAATCAGTCTCGCGCCAGTGTAGGCGCGCAAAGAGCCCATCGATCGACGTTCGAAGCATAACACGAGCTCTCGCGCAGATAGGCCGAAGCCTGCCTAAGCACACGTGCCTCGAGCTAATAAAATCTCGCTCGGTCGCTCGTTGGCTCCGTCGCAGGGACAAGATCTTTATTTCTGCGAGCTCGTGTATACACGTACATAATATGCCGGAGTTAAATTGTGTGCGAGAGCAGGCGTACCCCCCGCGGGGGCCTCCGATACCAACGTCGAGTTTTGATTTCCAAAAGATGCTCGTGAGCTCGCTTTATGTTCTTACTGCGGCTAAATTGAATCGCGGAGAGAGAGAGAGAGGGAGTGAAAACGACAGCGCTGACGCATCCGCATGCAGCTCGATCAACATTTTGGCCAACGCGTTATTCAAAATTGGGCCCGATCGGTTCATTACTTTTTTCTTCTCTTTACTTTTCTTTCTGTCTCGGTTTGATTCGGCTGCTCTCGTGGTGCGTCGATCTCGCGTCAACGAGTAAACATTTTTGCGTAATTCAACGCTGGGTCGCGCGCCAATCGGGATCAGCTGCGTCCCCCCCGCGGGCTTAGTGACTAATTGCCGCGATAATAAACGATTTTTACAGGCTATTCGCATCTTCACCCCATAAATTGGACGGTCAAGGAAAAAAAGGATCTCTCAATTAGCCGCGTGCTCGGGCCGGCTCACAATGAGCGATCAACGCGTCGTACAAAAGCAACTTAATAAATAAAACCAATAAAGTCTTGTAATGCCTATGGACTGGATATATAGCTACGCGGCCTTTCTGCTGGCTCGGTGGGTTCGGCAAAAAAATTGTTTTATTAATGTCTCTGGAAGGGCCGCGGCGCGCACGCGTCCATACCCTGGGAATATAATACACTAACGATATACAGCCACTCTTTCTTTTATTATCAGCTTTTAATCCAGCTTCGTTAACGCTTCTCTTGGCTCTTGGCTTCGCGATAAGTATACATATATTTGTGTGCTGCGCTGCTGCTGTTGCTGCTGCAGTGAAAGAGTGAGGGAAGAAAGAGAAAGAGAGAAAGAGAGAGAGAAGATAAGTCGACCAGTTCGCGTGTGCGTGATGCGCGCGAGATGAATTTTTTGCGTTACACATGCCTTTCGCTCACGGACACGCAGACACGTAGAAGATACCCATACAGACGAGGATATACCTAAAAACCACTTTTCGTGCGTGATGCATATACACGGGAGTAAAGAATTTACGATCCTCCTCATTTTGACTGCAGCTCGGCTGTACCATATGTATGATACACGCACGTACGTTATAACGCACATCGAGTACTGCAGCTACATCGTATGCCTATAGCTTTTGGGATTTTCGGTGAGGATTATGTCTTTTTTTAAGTTCCCGTTTAAATGGCCATTTTCGCACGTTAAACACACGTACGGACGCGTGGGGACAAAGGGGCTGAATAAATCGGCGATGCTCATCGTCGCCTCTGCGCCGATTGCCGTTTCTCGGTAATTATTCATTTTATTGACTCGATCCGGGCCGATTGGCTGGTCCCGCGCGCGTTTAATGTCATTTAAGAGCCGCGAGCTGCACTCGATCGCGCGGCAAAATTAATCGACGTCCAAGGAGCGTACGACTCTGCGAGAGGAGGCAACTCAACACGTTGTTTGAGCCTGTATCCTCTCCTACGTATAATACGAGCATGCGCCTCGAGCTCTATAGCCATATTATATACCATTAACGAGTGTCCATAGATGCAATTAATCGAACGCCGCCGCCGATCTCGAGAGATCCTTGGACGAGATCGCAGGCTACATATTCACGTAGCCTCCTATAGATCGTAAATCAAGCGATGCTTAAAGTAATCTACCGCTCGTGATCATGCTATACAGCCGCCGCCGATCATTTTGTTGTTTCATTGTGATCGGCGTATAATTAGCTCGAACAATGCCATACGTAGAAACGGTCCGGCGCAAGGCAAAAACGTTTCAGCGCAAGCTCGCTGCTGGACCGATCTCGAGAGCTAATTAATTTAGACCCCGAAACTCGAGCGATTGAATCGCAAAAGTCGCGCGGGCGATCGCGAGCCGACTCGAGCCCGGCCGAGCGAGTGCGAAAACGAGTTAGCGCTTCTGCCCCGCGCACCACACATACATTAGGCTGTAATTCGAGCTGCGCGTATATATTATAACGGCCTGCAGGCACACACATACACAGGCCAATACCGCATGTGACTGCATGCCCTGCCGAGACTCAAGACAAGTAGGTAGTTACGCGCCAGTGATATATTAATTTATTAACTAGTTTATTTATCCAAGAGCTTAGAGGAGAAAAGGTGCAATCCGCCCGCAGGCTGTGTGTGTGTGCGCAGCAGCAGCAGCAGCAGCATCTAAGTATATACATGTGTATAAGCTCGTAAGTCAATCTGCGAGTGGAGCTCTGCGCGTATATACGATTGGTGATTTAGCCAAAGTCGCTCGAAGCTGCTGCTGCTGCTGCTGCTGCTGCAGTGTCATTTCCAAGCGGGGATTATTACAGTGCCAAGACGCGAGTACGATCGTCTCGAGTGTTTGTGCAGTGCGCCTTTTTGTTTTGCTCGTTCGACCGACCAATGGAATGCAGAATTGTAATGACTCTAACTGTACGTAAGGAGAATAATTGCCGAGCTCCGACTCGTTGTTCTTACGGCGAGATTTATGAAAAAAAATTAAAAATTAAAGGGAAAAAAAGATAGGGTTTACCCAATTTCTCGAGCAAACAAACGGTGCAGTAGTCATCGCGAGCGATGTGAAAAACAGTTGGTTTGTTCGACAGCAGCCGATATGGCACGAGATTAAGTTGCTTGACGCAGACGAGTATAGCGACTCTTTCCATGTACTCAACGGAGATGAAACGAGAAAAAAAAATTTCCCGACGATTCTAATTGCGATGTGTGACGTTTCGAGTCGTATATATCGTCGTTAAAGCGACAGCCGAGAGTTGATAATTTCATTATATACAGCTGACTATTGTTAGAGGGGTATAAACAAGCTCGACGGCCGATTTGCAGCGGCGAGGTAGGCGCACGCGTTGACACACGAACCTGTTTTTGGATTGTGATAGAGAGAGAAAGAGAGAAAAGAGATACTCGAAGCAGCGCGAGGAGAGCGACTACGAGAGAAAACAGGCAAAGAATTTCAATCCTTTTTTTCGGAGGGTTGCAACGTGCAGGTGTTTACAAGGAACGCGACTAGCCCGAGCCCATGCGTGCACGACTTGAACACACACACAGAGCCGATAAATAGACGATCATTCCCAATCATCCGATTCCGGTTTTTCGTCGATAGATTTTCGAGCATCGGTCCAACTCGCTCCCAGTATAATTATATGCCGAAATTCATTTCTCGAATATAGCTACGCCATCATCATTGGATATATATGCGCGCGCGCGTGTATATATTTCGATAATTATGATAATTATCGCGGAAGACAAAAAAGGAATCGGTGGCGGTCGGGAATTGTCTATAAATAGACGCACGGGCTATACACACGGGAGGCAAAAAAATTGTAGGCGAGAAACGACGATGGAAAAAATGCTTCTATACTTTAGCGCCTTTAAAGCTGCCGAACATTCAACTCTATTAGAGCTCTCGAGCGATATAAGGTATAGAGCGACGTATAGAGAGCTCGGTATCCGGTGCAATGCGCGCCGAGCTCGATATTCGCGCGTTAATTGAGTTAGCGTGAAATTTTCACGCGCCTAGGCACAATACGTGTTAATGCGCGAGTAGCTCGTGTGCACTATAATAGCTCGTATATGAAAAAAGTTGTGTGCCGCCAATCGATACTTTCGAGCGCGTACGATTTCGCTCTCGCGGAGATCGGGCCATTATCGCGTATCAACCTGCTACGTTGTATAAGCCGCGCGCGAGTTGCAGCTCAGAGAGAGAGAGAGAGAGAGAGAGAGAGAGAGAGAGAGAGAGACAGAGAATTGACATACGAACAGGTTTTTTACACACAGACGCACACGCACACTTGTATAATACGACTTAATCTCGGCGACTGCACTGCACACACACACAAACAAGCACACACTACTCGAACGCATACATAAATACGCGTGTCTTTTGATCGTGAGAAATCAAAGTACCGATCTCTCGGCTACGTGCGTGTGTATAGTCACTGTGTACGTGTGCGACAAATAACAAGTATTTAACGACGCTTTACGCAACGTCCGAGGATCGTACGCGCGCCCCGACGCATTAGCATACGCGCGAGCTAGCTCTGCGCCCGATATACTTTTTATCCAGCCCGATGCTTTCGCGAGCGCTATCTCGTCTCTCTTTCTCTCTCTTGGCCGGCCTCTCTCATGTCTATATGATATTTATATACGAAAAATTAAATGGCCAAAATGTAAATTTTCTAGCCGCGCGCGCACGAAAGTCGGCATTAATCTCTTTCTCTCGCTAGCTCGTGGGCATTTTATAATGACGATAAAGGATATAAATACATTTGCAACGGGCTCGTTGAAAGGACGTGTGGGCTCGCGCGCGCCGCGAGCAACGAAATGCGGCGAAAAAAAATAAATTACCAGCCGAAAGTGTCGCGTGGCACATTGATTTGTGTTGTCGTGGGTTGAACCCCCCTTTTTTTCCATATTCTCGCGCACGCAGCTCGTTAAATTCAATCAGACACAATGCGCGAGCTAATGTCGGTAAATCATCGGCATCATCATCGACATCGCCTCGCAGACAGACGTAAGGATCGATTAACGAGCTGCTCAGCGACGATCGGACGTAAAGTCGATCATCCATCATGCCGATGGATACAACAACAACGCGGCATCAATTAGTCGCTGCGCGGCTCGTCGTTAATGTCTTTTCTAATGATATGCCCCGAGAGTCGAGAAGGTGAGATCATTTTAACGATGATTTTCGGATGACGATTCTTACCCACTACGACGACGTGTCCGAAAATCTGATCGTCCACCACGTCCGAGCAGTTCCATCGATGATTTCTGAACTGATGTCGACACTCTTTGAGTCCCATCTCGGCACCCTCGCCGACGGCCGGCATCGCGTGGGGCGATCTCTTGCAGAGCTCTCGCTGGGCCTTGCCCAGGCCTGGGATTCGAGCGCAGAGCGCGGCACCCACCACTACCGACGGCGACGACGACGACGATGACGACGACGACAATGAAGTAGTAGCAGCAGAAGCCACCATCCTGAAAAAGACAAATGTACACGAAGAAATTATTATTTGCCTCGCGTACACCAAGGCGATTCTGCCAGAGATAGGAGCCGAGCGATAAGCCAAGTATATGGACCGCCCCCGAGCATAGCAGCAGTGGCCCAGAGCGCTGCAAATTCTTCCGAGAAAAAGGCGAAATTACGACGATTACACGGGAGACTGACTTAAATCCGAGCGCGGCCCGGCTATCTTTCCATCCAGCGAAATTTGCATCGGAATGCCACGTACGTGTGGGAAAAATGTAGGTTATTTAACAAAAGCTGCGTTAGGACTGCGTTCGATCGTCCTAATTCATTGGAAAAAAGGAGCAGCGGCAGCAAATCGTTAATCGCGACTGTGTTAGTGTATAAATATACGTTATAGGTTGCTCGCATCTATGAGGCATTTTTAGCCTTAAGGTAAAATACGTCGTCGTATTAGCCGCTGCAGTGCAAGAAAGAGAGAAACGAGGCGTGCTAAGGTAATTGATTTATTTTACGAGTTTAGCATTATGGAAGCCGCTGCACATATCCATACGCATACAGAGAGAGAGAGAGAGAGAGAGAGAGAGAGAGAGAGAGAGAGAGAAGCTGAGGCAGAGCAGAGGAATTTTGATTTAGGGTTGTGCGATTCAGCCGCTGATGACCGTGTCATTATACACAACTACGCTACGCAATGGAACCTGCGACGGGGGTAATTAATAGAGCGATCATTGTAATCGACCGCTGGAATGTGAAAGGTATTCCCGCGCGTCTACGTACACGCACACACACACAAGCCACAATTATTAATGAATTATTTTTCACGAATGATACATCGATGAGATTTATCGGGCCATTTGTTGCACGAAAGAGTTTAGTCAACGGCTATTTAGCGCATCGACCAGCATTCACGATTCGCGGAATTTCGCTGCCAGCAGCTATTTGTAATAGACGTACGTGAGAAAAGCGACGTTAAAAGCTGCTTTCCGAAAATTAATTCCTCGCTTCATCCGAGAGTACAGCTTCCGAAACTTTTGTGCTGCAGCAACTTTTTCCCTTCTCGGAAGTTGAAAAGCACAGCTGTGCTACTCGACTCGCTTCGAGTTTTATTAATAATCGTGTATTAAGAGCGGCTTCGAGCCGGCAAATGTGCAATTTTAATCATTCGTGCGTGTAATGTGCAGGTACTATGCCGAGTTATTTCTTGGTCCATTTCTTCGTTTATGCATGATTCGATACGCAGCACGAGCTGCCTCTTTAATGAGTCGGTAAACATTCGATTATTTCGCTGTTCACGAGAGCCATCTCGAGCTTACGGTATAGCAAGCTCGTAACATTCTGTGCTCGCACACATTTGTCGGCCGCGCGATCGATCAAGCTTGCAAAATCTCTCGAATCGCCAGAACAATCAATTTGAGAAACGCCATTTATTGAATCCTCTATGAGCCGATAATTATGTATCCATCTACACTATGTATTATGTTGTATTGTTACGTGTCTCCGTTCCCAGCAGACATTAATTTTAAAGCTGTTTATTACAGGTTTAGAAAATGGCGAGAGCCTGTAGAGTACGAACACTGATAAATCTCGATCGTTTTCATGGAAGAAAGAAAGAGAGAGAATTAAATATCATATACTTGCGGAGCTGAAATATTTTCTCCACGGAACGATATGATGTATATAATTTTCCGCGTGTTTAATAATTTACTTCTCGCTAAGCGTTAGGCAACGGCTTTATATACTCGTACGCAAACGTACACATGCAGTACTACATGATCGAACTTTCATATAAGATTATTTAATCGCGCAATAACACATCAATTTTCTTGTACAAACGTAGATTTAACGATCTGCCGTGAGTTGGCTATTGGAGAGAGAAAAAAAAATAGCTCAAACGTTTAAAGGCCGTATCAAGAGTCGACTTGTGGAAGCTAAACACATGGACGCAGACAGTCCGGTATAGGAAGCGCATCTGTATAAGAGAGTCGGCGAGGCGATTATCAGCGTCACCATCTGCCGTTAAAATTTTTATAATTCTCCCTCCCCGGGTCTGGGACATTAAATGTCTCATTTAGGCAGAGCAGCGGTCGTTTGCGGCCGGCTCGATAAGAGAGCAGCAGCCGCCGCTGCGCGTCGAGAGGCTGCACGCGCGAATAGCGGCGATCGAATTGAATCGGAATTGGAAGGCAGATCGGGAGCGGGCAGCGAAACGACTTCATTTTTTGTCGAGCTCGAGACTGGACACGGTCGATCCGGCGGGCCGGCGAGGACCTCACGAGCTGAAAACGGCTGGCAACTATACGTGTCAGAGAGCTGTCGTGGCGCATTTAATCCACTTCGACGCGCTCACGCAGTCAGGCGGGCAGGCCGAGATCGAGGGACGGGACCGTGCGGGAGGTCCTCGCATGTTATCCCGTTCTCTCTCTTTGCCAGTTCGCCTTTTCTCTCTCTCTCTCTCACTCTGTCTCAAAGCGCAGGCAGTTTTCGATCGGCTTATAAAAGCCAATGCACGGCGATTGTGAGCCAAGGAGAGCGCGTAAATATGATATTTTTTAATTTGCGTATCTTTATTGAATACTTGGCGGCGATTGATATTAAATAAAAAATGTCATCGTTTCGTTACCATAATTTTCAAGCTTTATACGCGCATGCTTACCCACTTTATTTTCTTTCTCTCTCTCTCGAAAGATTGTGAAATATATATTAATTCATAGGAAAATATGCGAGGAACGCTTACTTGCGCGCGCATATGTACGGTGGCACATAAAGTACATTAAATAATTGGCCTACGCCAATAATTCGTTAATTTTATCATTAGAGCGATCTTTCTCGCCCTGGCTCGGTGCGACTTGCCTGAACAGCGAGCTGCTACTATACAGCTATATAGCTAAAGACATGTAATGCAGAAAATTAGCTTGACGTAGCACGCACGATATGAACCGGCTATGCGCACCTACAGAAATCGACGCTTATCGCGCTTTTAATATTAACACGTGTTTCCAGCGATTTTTCCTCTATCGATTTATTAAAATAATCGCGATCGAATTAAAAAATGGCCGATCGATTGTATTTCTTCGCAAGTTAGAAAGAAGTATATTTTGACTTTCTCTCTCCTTCGATGGTCGTTTACATACATTACGCCGCCTAAATAATGGCCAAGGCTATATAAATCGTTTGATGGAGGGGGCGCTTCTCCGATTTTCAAGCTGGATAAGAAAATTGCGAAGCTCGTCGAGTCGAGCGAGGCGCCCGGCCAAGACGACGACGACGACGACTGCGAGATTACAAAGCAGCGATGCTCGCGTACATACACACACTGACGTCGAGCTGCAACGCGATACATGCCGTAATGTGCAGCCTACACGTAGCCGAGGCGCATTTGCGTTTGTTCTGTCACGAGATATATCATATAGGAGCTATATGCTGGGCTCGCACCAAGGGGACTCAAGAGAGGAGCTTTTTTCGCCGGAATCCAATAAATTGGCTGCTGCGCCGCGCCATTGAATGTTAAACGCGAGTGTGTAACTACCGAAAACAATGATACACACCGACTCTTATAGGCAGGTAGCCGTGTAGTCGGCCAGTGCGAATTCACATGTGTTTTCATCGGCTTCATTTTGCTCCTATTGCTTATACGCGTTGCGATACCTACCTATACTCGCGCGCGAAACAAAATTTATTTGCCTCCGTATTAGCTGAAACGTAGAAATAACCCATGCAACGGACGGGCCAACTCGCCCATTGGAATTTGCTTTACACGAATCGGAACACGAGTTCAAGTCCTGCTCTTTTTTCTCTCTCTCTCTTTCAAGCGAGTTCAGTGAAGGAAAGAGAAGGAGGAAAAAGACGAACGCCACACGTTATAGCGAAGGGCTCCGAAATTAAAAATTGCGTATCGAGCTTATTTACCGAAGAATTATATGCGTCCGGGCAAAAGGAATAAAACAATCGTGCGTATAATATGTTTGGCGCGTCGAGCGCGCATCCCCATAGCGAGAAAGAGAGAGAGAGAGGGAGATGCGATTTTGCAAAACTGTGCGAGTGTCTGTGCGCTTGACGGCTTATACGTAGCCGCGCGATAGACCATCTCTCTGCCAGAACTAATTAAAAGGATCCATCGCCGCGCGCACATCCTCTCGGGGCTGCTGCGCCGCAGATACGATCGCGCGAGGCTCTGCACGCGCGAAACAGAGAGTGCGAGAGAGAGAAATTCGCGCGCACCATCGCTTAACGCCCTCTCGCAGGCTTTTCAAGCCTCGGCTATACACACTTTATATCGGCCTTTGTCTTTTACGACCATCTTTATTGATGGACCTTTGACAGCGAGCCGAGCCTCGATAGAGCCTACGTACTCTCGGATCGATTCGTGCCTGCAATCGCAGCCTATGCACCCATTTATCTCTGTACCTTTTCTACGTAACCGTTTCAAGTGGCACGATGCAATTGTTACCATGAATACTGCATATTGTTATTTTATTTATCGAATTTAAAAGCCTTTCATATTTTTAACAGGATAAAAAGAGCGGCTAAATATTAATAAAAGATGGCGACGAAAAGAGCTTAAGAAACAAAAAGCATATTTCTCACGATTTTCATCTCTCGTCGAATCGCGCAGGGCTCGGAAGAAAAAGGAAGAGAGAAAAAAAAAAGAAAGCTGAAATCAGACAAGGACGATAAAGATCCCGTTAACCCGAATGCGCCGCGAGATCTCGATATAATCGAGAGGGAGAGAAAGAGAGGGACGAAGCGATTAAAAAGAAGAGAGCTTCGATATTTCGATTGCGATCGACGGCCAATTACAAGCGCGAGAGACGCGACGACGAGGACGATCGAGCATTATACACATAACGCAAGTGCCATATGCGCGTAGTCACCGAATTAAACGAGCCTCTGCCGAGTGACAAGTGCCTGAACGAATATATAAAGCGTACATCGAGTATAACGATAGAGAGAGAGAAA